CACAGTGAACTTGGTTGGTGACATTTTTCAAACGGAAGTAAACGACGGCTGAAATTCATTATCGTGGCCAATTTACATTGTCAACTCAGTTGGTAAAGCCAAATAGTTTTTTAATACCCCGCCAAAGTTTCTTCAAAAACTTACCCCGTTGTTTATAGAAACTATGCATGTGGAAAGTTCTCATTGCAAAAGTTAAGATAAAGTCTGTCAGTTTTTTTATCTTTGTCCAATGACTTTAAAATCATGTAATGTTCTGCAAAAATCCCAACTTGAGGAAAATGAAAGGTGACCAACCGACTTCTTCACTTTTTTGTTTGTTTTTTTTTTGTTTTTAAGTGGATATTGTGAATTCTAACACTTCCAGCTTGTTACAAATAGTTTCCGGGTGTAATCGACCTAGCCCGTTTTTGTAACTTAACATGTGTGTTCCTGTTTGAAGTGACTCGTTATTAATCAAGATTATGGACCATTTAGTATTGTGTTACTAAAAATAATGTTTCCCTGATAACAGTTGAGGATTGCAATGGAAACCTAACAGCAGAAGCCATGACACCTTTCATGAGCCTCGCCTTATTTGTTGCCCTGTTCTTGCTCAACTCAGATCGCATTCAGAAAGCCATTGAGATATGCAGCGAATGTTTGATTTTGCTAAATGGCACCGATCAAAACAGCAAGAACCAATTTGATTCAGCACTGCTACAATTTTACAGCGACATCTATACCATTCTTTTCAGCGCTTATCGTCATATCTCTGACTACATAAGTGCGGAAAGATACGGAAGGGAACTGTTTGACTTATACAGAGGGTATGGAATTATGCTTTATAAACTTGGCGAAAGCCTAAAAGCAAAGGAATATTTTAAGAGGGCCCTTGCCATAACAACCAAAATTGGCGACAGACGAGGGGAGGCATCATGTTATGGAAACCTAGGTACTGTGTTTACGTCGCTTGGCCAATACGACAAGGCTGAAGAGTATCTCCAAAAAGCGCTTGTCATCGCAACTGAAATTGGCGACAGACGAGAGGAGGCAACTGACTACGGAAACCTAAGTACTGTGTTTCTATCCGTTGGCCAATACGACAAGGCTGAAGAGTATCTCCAAAAAGCGCTTGTCATCACAACTGAAATTGGCTACAGAGGAGGGGAAGCATTATGTTATGGAAACTTAGGTACTGTGTTTAGGTCGCTTGGCCAATACGACAAGGCTGAAGAGTATCTCCAAAAATCGCTTGTCATCAGAACTGAAATTGGCGACAGAGGAGGGGAAGCATCATGTTATGGAAACCTAAGTACTGTGTTTCTGTCCGTTGGCCAATACGACAAGGCTGAAGAGTATCTCCAAAAAGCGCTTGTCATCACAACTGAAATTGGCGACAGACAAGGGGAAGCATCATGTTATGGAAACCTAGGTACTGTGTTTACGTCGCTTGACCAATACGACAAGGCTAAAGAGTATCTCCAAAAAGCGCTTCTAATCAGAACTGAAATTGGCGACAAAAGAGGGGAAGCGTCATGTTATGGAAATCTAGGCACTGTGTTTAGTTCGCTTGGCCAATACGACAAGGCTGAAGAGTATCTCCAAAAAGCGCTTGTCATCATAACTGAAATTGGCGACAGACGAGGGGAAGCATCATGTTATGGAAATCTAGGTTCTGTGTTTACGTCGCTTGGCCAATACGGCAAGGCTGAAGAGTATCTGCAAAAAGCGCTCGTCATCAGAACCGAAATTGGCGACAGACAAGGGGAAGCATCATGTTATGGA